GGATTGGTACAAGTTCGAATAAGGTATTAGGTGGTATTGGTGCTTTTGGTTGAGGCCCCGGGGGCCTCGGGATGATTTCGGGTGGTTAACGGAGGAATTTGAAGTTAATGCAGCAGCTGAATGTCCCTCTTCTGGTATTTTCGCATCTGCGGCTTGGGAACCGCAGATCGCGGCGCCGCAGAAGCGGCTATTTGGCCGAAGAAGTGGCTTGTCCCCTTTTCCCTCAGAAGCCGCAGAAGCGGTGCCACTTCCGCAAAAGCGGAGCCGCAGAAGCGGCTTAGGCTTCGCAGAAGCGGAGCCGCAGAAGCGGCCCTGTCCCCTTTAATGAAAGCCACAAAAGCGATTGCTTTTTCCGCATAAGCGGGACCGCAGAAGCGGTCCCTTGTCCGCAGAAGCGGAAACGCCTGTTCAGAAATATCAATTTCGAGGGTTTAATTTCATAAGTTTGAAAATCGATTGAGAGCTCGGGAGAAGGCAATTTTGAGTGGGTTTTGAAGAGAAAATCATTGGGTAACGTTTCCTTGATCCCTTTTCATTATATTTCATCATTATATAGCTAAATACATCATTGGAATTCGAATTTAGGATCAAAAGTTGGTTAATTTGGGGTAAAACTTCATACACCAAACTATTGGGTTTTGAGGGGGCATTTGACCTCCGATTTGGGAGATTTTTTATATGGTTAGACTCGTGAGAGTACGAGGGTTCTGAAAATGTAAAAATTATCCGATTCCGAGATGTTGGCCTGAGGGGCGTTTTGGTCATTTTGCCTAATTTCACGCCTTAGCTTTGAATTAAATAGTAGAATCAGTTTCTTGAGATGTTATTTCCAATGTGTGATTTAATTGAATAGATTTGGGCCATTTGGAGTCGAGTACTCGTGGCAAGTACGTGGTTGCTAGTTGATTTTAGCCGGTTCGAGGTAAGTATCTTGCCTAACCTTGTGTAGGGGACTTCCCCTTAGGATTTGAGTCTTCTTTGTTGATTGTATTCCCTGTACGCGAGGTGACGAGTGCGTGCTCGGATTTATTTGTGGAAAATTGCCCCTTTTAGGCTCTTAGGTTCTTGTAATCATCGAATATGAGGTTGTTCTTGATACGATTGAATTCCCTGTTATTAGTTCCACCTCTACACGACTTGGAATTTATCTGCCCTTTTTGGTTATTCTTGTTGCCTAAATGACTTTTACTTGTTTAACTGTAGACATTTGCCCTTCTATAGTCACATTATCATTCCTAACTGCTTGTCTTTATCTGAAAAGTATTATTGCTATCTGTCGTGTAATTAATTGGTCTTAATTGGAAAGAAGTTAGGTATCCTATGTTTAGCTGATACTTCCTTAATTGTAATTATTTGATTCATGTTAACTTCCTTGTTGTAGAACTGAGTATTATGGAATCGTTGTTTCGTATTATTTCTGCCTTGTTGAGTTGTTCTTATTGCGCTTAGTATTTCCCTGTTACAGTTATTTCCTTGTACGTTAGTTGTACCGTCTTTTGGTGAACTGAATCTCTTGAGTTGATTCTCTTGCTTTGTTCCTGCATATATTGTCATTTGTTGATATTGTGATGCATGAGGTTTCTGCCGTGCGATTGTTGATATTGTGATGCACGAGGTTTCTGCCGTGCGGTTGAGAATATTGTGATGCACGAGGTTTCTGTGGTGCGGTTGTTGATACTGTGATGCACGAGGTTTCTGCTGTGCTATTGTGAATATTGTGATGCACGAGGTTTCTGCTGTGCGGTTGATTTTGAAGGGTTGCACGAGGTCTTTGCCGTGCTGTTGTTGTTATTGATGTTTTGCACATGCGGCGCAATAAGGCGGGATATGTTATATGCTTATATGTGGGTTGCGCATGTGGCGGAATAAGTAGGGGACATTGTGATGCACGTGTGGCGAAATAAGGCGGTACCTATTATCTTATTATTTGCACACGTGGCGAAATAAGATGGGCTATGTCAGGGGATGATTGTAGGGAATTGTGACGGCCTGTGGAGGCATTCCTATTTGTTTAATAATGTGATTGTGGGTTGCTTACCGGTATGAGCTTTATTGCTTGGAAGTTGTGAGGAAACATCGCACGTGCGGTCCGTTCTCCTTTTCATGTTTACTAGCAGGTAGAATTTTGTTAGAAACATTTCCACAAGCATACACGTAGCTGAACACCCCATTAGAGGTGAATTCCTCCCGATTTTTCTAAGGGTGGAGGTACGCCCTCGTTTATCCATTATATTTGTGAGAGTGGCCCTAGTTAGCCAGTTAGTTGTCGGTATGACCATGATTGATGGGGCACAGGATGCCAATTGTTAGATTCCAGATGCTGGGTCTTCGCGAGTTGTGGTTTGTCCGAGACTTGGTAAAATTGTGGAAAGAGTTGGATAAGACCTTTGTGAACATCATTGTAGGATATGAGTTATTGACTTGTTTTCCCATTGCTGTGTTGTGACCTTAGGATTTGGATTGTGATTCTGCCGTCATTTCCTATCCTCGTTTATTATATTCTCGTTGTTACTTGTTGTATTTTTCCCTTATTGTGAATTGTAGCATTCTTGGCCATTCATGCAGTCTTTACATATTTATATGTCATTTCCATTATTCCTATGATTATACTGTTTATTGACCGGTAGGTGCCTTGACTGTTCCTCGTCACTACTCCACCGAGGTTAGTCTTGATACTTACTGGGCACCGCCGTGGTGTGCTCATGCTACTCTTCTGCACACTTTTGTTGTGCAGATACAGGTACTCCCACTCATTTCTGTTAGCCTTGGAAGGAGGCGTATCGGTAGAGACTTCGAGGTATATCTGCTACGTCCGCAGACCGAGGAGTCCCTTTCCAGCTTTCTGTAATAAGTATAGCTCTTTCAGTATTTCTCCTTTGTATAGATATTCTTGAGTCAGAGCCTCTTATGTATCTCTTAGCTTGTGATTTGTGAGTTCTCGGGTTTTGGGAATGTTGTTAGCTTCGAGAATTGTTATGGTATGTGTCGAGCGGCACCTTAAACACCGTTTTATTTTACTAGTTCAGTTTTATTGCAATTATGGTTTATCTTCCGCATTGTTAGGCTTACCTAGTCGTAGGGACTAGGTGCCGTCACGACTTG